CCGCGGAGGGCTGGGTGGCCAGCTCCCCCGTTATCCTGGCCACGGCCGGCTACGACCACACGGTGCGGTTCTGGCAGGCGCACAGCGGCATCTGCACCCGCACCGTCCAGCACCAGGACTCCGTATCCTTCACCGCCGCCCCGGGCCGGGGCCTGGCGGGGCCGGGGGGGACTGCCCCCGCCGCCCCACGGACACCGTTAGCTCGGTGTCACACCCCACGTTTGGGAGCACCCGGTCTCACCGGCCGGGTCCTGGCTGCTGCTTCTTCTTACCGACCTTAACAGGCGCCTGCAGCAGGTGAACGCCCTGGAGATCACGCCGGACCGCAGCATGATCGCTGCCGCAGGTGAGCCCCCGCGCTGCCCCGGGCACGGGCGGCACCGGGCACGGGCGGGGGGACCTTGGTCACCCCCTGCCCGGTCGTTGCTGCAGGCTACCAGCACATCCGCATGTATGACCTCAACTCCAACAACCCCAACCCCGTCATTAACTACGACGGCGTGAGCAAGAACATCACCTCCGTGGGCTTCCACGAGGACGGGCGGTGGATGTACACGGGCGGGGAGGACTGCATGGCCAGGATCTGGGACCTGAGGTGGGCAGAGGCGACGGTGTCCCCCTCCAGTGGCACCCCGGAGGCGGTGGAGCTGATTGCACGCCCTTAAACATGCTCCTTCCTCACCGTTCCGTTGCAGGTCTCGTAACCTCCAGTGTCAGCGGATTTTCCAGGTGAACGCGCCTATTAACTGTGTCTGCCTGCACCCCAACCAGGTGAGCACCGGCTCCTCCGCAATTTCCCAGCTCATGCTTTGCTGTGGCTCCTCTGGGTAAACCTGAGGGGCTGCAGGGTTTTATACTGGCAGACTCAGCAAAAGATCCAGGGGCTGGCTGGGGAGGGTGGCCTTCCCGGTGGCACAGACCCACGAGCTCTCGGTGGCATTGCTGGACAAGTGTCCTGCACCCAGGCCACCTGTCCGCCTGCTCCTTCCCCGAGCTGCTGCTGCTGGGAGCTTTGGGTTGGTGTGGAAACACAGCCCACGTGGCACAGGAGCCAGCACAACAGACGCGCAGTCCCTCCATCTGCCCCAGGAAAGCCAACGCTGCTTCGTGCGGTGGAGCAAACCTCTCTGAGCAGCGGCGCTGGGAGCGAGCAGGTACCGCAGGCTCACGTTGTGCCTGCAGCAGGTGTCTATGCCGCAGCCCGGGGGCTTTGTCCGCTGAGCTCATTTGCCAGCCGGCATGTTTGTGCTAATTGCCTGCTGGCTGTTGCAAAGAGACAGCATAGCGGCCGCGCTGGGCCTCTTGTCCCATAGGAGGGGACAGTCCTTTGGGGCCATCTTTGTCCCAAGAACATAACCAAGGGGATGTGATGGGAGTGGAACTGGTGGCGCAGGGCGGGCTGGGAAGCTTGAGGGTGGCACTGCTGTCAAGAAAAAGCATCTCAGGGCCTGTGGCCCCCATTACTTTCGAGACTTTGGTAAGATTTGCTCAAGATTCACCAGTCTGTGCAGAGACTGTTGATATACAGAGGAATGGCTGGGGCTTGGGAAACGAGGCTAAAAGGGAGTGAGGTGCATTAGCGGGGACAGCGGTGAAAATCAATACATATCATTGCAGTGTTAATAACCCATCTGTTCATTTTGTATTCACAGTGCTGCAGGGTTGGTTTGTAGACATGGCGGTGCAAACCTTTTTAAAAAGCTGAGTAATAGAAATGTTTCTTTGCATTTGATTTTTTGAAAGTTTGATTTTATGAGTCCTGAATTTTGGACCAGATTTGGGATCAATTATTTGGACCAGACTTTACCCAAATGCTGCCGATGCTCCTATAGTGCCGGTGCTGTGAGAATGTATTATGTTAAAACAATTAGTGTTGTACATACATCTTACATGTGAAATAATCACTAACAAAGGTGCTGCTGAGTTGGAGAAGTGTTGGTTTGTGAGCAGAACACAGTTAATTAGTCCAAAGGTGGCAGTATTTATTCAGATAGCTTCATCACTCTGCAATTCCCTGCTGCAGTGATGCTGATCCAGTTATCAGAGAGAGATTTCTCATGGCCTGGGTAAGGTAATGATGGCTTTAGCAATTGCATTTATACCTGCTAAGAGGGGGCTGAGGATTGAGGCATCCAGAAGATGCTTCTGCACTGTGCAGTCAGCTAAATATATCGAGTGATGATTGTCTTCCTCAGAAACAAGCCGTTGCTCACAGGTACAGGATTAGCTGTGCCCGATGACCTGATCTCCTCTAGGGATTCTGCTAAAATTATGGGCAGCGCAAGACTGTCGATAAAAGCCCTGGTTTTAGTGGAGAGCCGCCAGCATTGTCTTCTGGTCTGAGCACGGGATCGCAGCCAGAACTCCTGCCCTTCAGCTGGCTCTTGCCCTTCCCCTGAGAAGGGGAGAGAGAGAAAAACCCATTTAGGCTTGTGTTTTTCAGGTATCTGTACACTCTTGAGTGCTTCAGTTGTTCACTGGCCAACTTGCATCTTAATGCCCTCTTCTCAGACGTGCTGAAAATCATTTGGCTTCTGTGGATATTGTTTGGAGCTATAGCTGTGCAACGGTTCTGGAAATCAGGCAGCTCCTGTCTGCTCTGGGGTTTATAAAATTAGCAAACACTTCTGCAAAGGTAAACAGCCTTTTTGTAGAGTGTAACGTGAGATTGGTACCCTGCTTGCTCTCAGCGCGCAGGGGAGGTTAGCAGGCTGCTGGAGCTCTGAAACAGCCCTGTGCTGGGTAATAATTAGGCAGAACAGGACCCTGATGCTCAAAACCGGAGTAAGGCTCCACATGGTGCTGCACGGGCATGATCTGGGCATTGGTGTGGGGCTGCTGCTTGTGGGGTTCTCTTCAGAGAGATGAGACTGCTGTTTTCTTCCAGGCAGAGCTAATTGTGGGTGATCAGAGTGGTGCCATTCACATCTGGGACCTGAAGACAGACCACAACGAGCAGCTGATTCCAGAGCCCGAAGTTTCCGTGAATTCGGTTCACATTGACCCCGATGCCAGTTACATGGCGGCTGTCAACAGCTCGGTGAGCTCCGACGGCCTCGAATGTGGGATGGGCTGTGCCTCCCGTGGGCAGAGGCAGCCGGTCTGCACATACCAGCTTTGCCTGCGTCTTTGCTTTGCTGTGGTGGGGTGTGGAAAGCCTGGATGGCTCTTGCGTGGGTGACCACCAGCCCGGCCACAGATCCCCCTGTTTCGCCACAGGGAAATTGCTACGTGTGGAACCTGACAGGTGGCATCGGAGAGGAGGTGACCCAGCTGATCCCCAAGACCAAGATCCCAGCGCACAACCGCTACGCCCTTCAGTGCAAGTTCAGCCCCGACTCCACGTGAGTGCGTGCCAGCCTCTCACCCACCTGCGATGGGAATGGATGGTCCTTTCCGGGCAGGCAGAGACCAGCTGTGCCTCCAGCTGTTGGCTGATGCTGGCTCCACACTGCCCTGCAGGTCCCCCAGGGAGGAGTGGGACAGGAGGCACGGGACACACTGGGACTGGGTTGCTGTCAGTGGCATCCCAGCCTCGTGCCCTGTGATCTCAGCAAGCTTTGCAGCCACGAGCTGTTCTTACAGCTGGGATTGAATTGCTGATCTCTGGGAGCAAAGTGGCGAACTTGGTGTACTCCTTCACTGAGTCTGTTCGGCTTGAATCTCATAAGGCAGATGATATAGGTGTAAAGAAATCTGATTACAATGAACGCAGGTCTCCAGTTCGTTACTGTTCCGGGCCAACATTAACGAGAGGCCCTTAGGTGTATAGCGTGACTAATAAGGTTACCCTCGCCTGTCTCTTCCTTGCAGGCTCTTGGCCACATGTTCTGCAGATCAGACGTGTAAGATCTGGAGGACTTCAAACTTCTCTTTGATGACAGAGCTGAGCATTAAGAGCAATAACCCAGGTGAAACGTCTCGGGGCTGGATGTGGGACTGCGCGTTCTCCGGGGACTCCCAGTACATCGTCACAGGTGAGGCACTGCTGCACTCCTGCCCTTGGCCCACTGCTCGATTTGGGCTACGCCAGGCCCCCAGCGGCAGGGCCCTGCATTAGCACAGGACTTAGCAGTTTTCTAACTGGGACGTTGCCAAACCCTCATCCACCAGTATGTAAGGAGAGAGCACCCAGCCTTGCGCCTGCAGCGCAGTCTACTCATTCTTTTAAGCATTTTGCCTGTGCTGCAATAGGGCATCTGTTTAAACTGGAGAGATGATCTTCACGTGTGCAGTTTATTTCACCTGGTAGCAATGCTGCTTGCAGTACACAGCATGATAAGTCCCTTCAAAACATACATGTTGTAATTTCCACAGTAACTTCTCTCTGAAATAATTAAAACCTCGCGTAATACAGAAATGTGCACTAAGCTTCTTGCTCTGCATGGCTCCCTTACCTGTCATCAGCAGCCCTAATAAAGGTGTTGAATGAAGCAAGAGGAAAGTTTTTTCTTATAAAAAAAGAACTTTAAAGGGTAATGCAATATATCCCACTCCTCTTTTCACTTTCTGTTCCAGCCTCCTCTGATAACCTGGCCAGACTTTGGTGCGTGGAGACAGGAGAGATCAAGAGGGAATACAGCGGTCACCAGAAAGCAGTCGTCTGCCTTGCTTTCAATGACAGCGTGTTGGGATAATGGTCCCGTGTGGGAAGGAAAGGACTCTGCTTGTTTTCCCTTGTCGTACAACGGCAAGCGCCCTCTCTGGAGCCCGAGACATGCACTTGTAACCATCCCCTGCACTGATGGAGAGGGCTTGGTCTCTGGCAGAAGCAGCTGCATTTGCCTGGAGTGAGACCAGGCTTCAGCTCCGAGCAGATCATTACCAAAACGTGCGTGGCCTCTAAGGGAGGCCGCTTGGACAAAAGGGAATGGGAGAGAGAGGCACGATCCCACTGAGGGGAGCTGGGTACGGTTCAGCTGGAGGAATCCCTGTGGCATCAGCTGCTGACGGCTTTGTGATGTTCTTATACGCCAAAGTGGAAAAAAAAAAAATCAGCTTTTTAAAATGATGGAATAGGCTGAGCAAAGAGAGGAAACGCAGCTGTTTTCTTGTTTTGCAATCCCTTTATTTGAAGTGTACTTCATAGACTTACTTGGAGAGCTGCACTCTTATAAAGCCAACCACCCCCGACAAATTTAATAACCTTGTGTTGAACAGGGCATGTAGCCATAAAACACTAGCTACTCCACGTGATTCCTCTAGGCCTGGATCTCCTACTACCTACGTACAAGATGCAGCCCTGGAGCACAGCTGCAAATAAAGAGTCTGTACTGGCAGTGCTGAACAGAGTCCTGTTATTTTTCTAAAATCTCCTGAACTGCAGCATGAAATCGGCAGGAAGCTTTTGGGGAATATTGTAGATGTTACCTTCCTTGTTGAAATCAGAGGCTTTTCAGGAATCCAGTTCAAGTATGTAGAGCAGCGAGAAGGCATCCTCGGCTGCAGGACTTACTCAGGGAGGTAATAGAAGCAGATAGACACACAAACGTTGCTTGGAAAACAGATGTCAATGCAAAGGTAGATCAGCCGCTGCTTCCCCGGACCTGCCAAATGAGCAAGGACAGAAGCAGGGTGAGAGGAATGCTTTTGCAGTCCTGCAGATACGAGTCCCTGGGGAGCCAAACAAGTGGAAAGCCTCAGGGAACGAGGTTTCTCATTAAAGCTAAAGTGAGACAGAACAGAATGAGAGCTCGGCAGGCTGCTTTTGGTGAAGATTAAGGTGACAAGTATTAAGCCAACAGCGTTGCAGGGGACTGCTCTGTGTTGCGGTCGGGCCGTGCGAACAGGCTGCGCTGCCTGGGGAAGGGGGCTTTCCCAGCCAGCACCACAGTTCACTGCAGGTTGTGGGTCCGAGCCAGCACCCGGTGATCGCTAAACAATGGCTTGATTTTGAACTAGAGGTCACCTGTCCCGTCCCGGGCCTTGGCAGCCAGTCCTGGGATGTGCGTCAGCTTCTGCGCAGCAGAGCTTGCTCCTCTTAGATGTACTAGAAACAATTGCGCTTTCCTCTTCTGGAAAGGGACGCATACAACTTACCCTCCCCTCTCCTGACCCAGAAGATGGATGTCTGCTCACACAGGGTCTGGACAGCCTCCCCCAGGCTTTTGGGGTCCACTTGTTCCCCCACCAGAATGCCCAGGAACTCCCGGTAGTACTTGGTCTGGTTATTCTGACGTAGCATCTGATCAACCTGAAAGAAATGTCCCTGTTAATTTCTCCCAAGGCACTTTGCTCCTCCCAGCATTGCCCTCCAGCCCCGCAGACCTGCTCTCGCTTTCGAGGCACCCAAAGAGCAGTCTCTACCCCAGCAGTAAGGGTGGGTTTCTCCCAACAGCTGCCCCATCCCACCGGGATGCCCGCACTGCCCGGAGCAGCCTCCCAGGAGAAGCCTGGCTGCCAGGGGCGAGGCTGGAGCGGGGACAGCCCACAGCCCCTCGCTAGCCCTGCAGCTTGGGAAGCCGGGGGGATGGTTCCTCCTGGGCCCCTCGCTGGGCTGCTTTGTCCCCAGGCCTGGAGCTAAAACACCATGTTGTGCCAGGTGTCACAACCACCACAGCCTGCTGGCAGAGGAGCATTGGTCTGAGCCACGCCTGCCTGCCCAGCACCGCCACCACCCCCGGGGTTCGGCTGGCCCACAGCTGTGGTGACCCACGGCAGCCATGTCCCCTCGCCACACACAGCAGCAGAGCCCCCCGCGCCGGGTGTGACGCAAATCAGCATCCTTCAGCCCCATGGTGGCTGGGACCAGAAAAGGCTGAGCTCAGGCTCCTCAGTGCTGGTTCCCATTTGATGGCCGTGTGGGCTGCTGGTGGCCGCATGGGCTGCTGACAGCCCCAGCACCACCAACTCTTTTACCTCCATTAAGGAACCTCAGAGCCTGGCAGATGCTTTCTCCTCCTTGCATCCCCTTTGGTACCCTGCTTTCATGGGTGCTGTGTTCCTACACTCCTCTGGGTTAAACGCTTCCCGGCTGGGGGGAGCGGCAGGCGAGGGACAAGGAACCCCCAGGGGCCCCCAACGAAATGGAGAGCAGATGGCAGGGGCACAAAAACGCAGGGCCTTCTGTCTTCTTGAAACAGAATCTGCCCCTTGCCCGTGCATTCATTAACATTTTGTTCAGAGGGTCCGTATACATGATTTACTCCAACTTTCTTCCCTGTGAATTGCTATCAAACCCCCTTTGTTTTTTGTTCACCAGATTTTTAAGCAGGTAACAGAATCCAGTGGGAGCGGGTCCTGCAAGAGCCCTGCTATTCACCTCTGTGGGACATAGCCCCCTTCCCTGACCCGCAACTCTGCTGTTTCTCACAGAAGATAGGATATCGATAAAACCAGGAGCTGTTGCTCTGAGCTCGCACACTGAGCCCAGTGCTGCAAGGCAGAGCTCTCCTCCTATGCAAGACACCAACCCAGCCCGCCCTGAGCAGTGGATCGCCCAGAACAGGGGGCTGCTGCTGCTACCCCTGACTGGGAGAGCCTGTGCCCTCATTCAGCCACGCTTGGGATGCTGGTGTTAGAGTCGCTACTGCAAACACATATCCATGCAGGAAAGGGCCTTCAGCGAGCCAGGACTCCATGCAAAGCCTAATTCATCACCCCGTCCACTCAGCCGCCTCAGGGAACGGCTGCAGCAGCTGCTCACTCTCTGCTCAGATGTGTTGAGAGATGTCTGCAGGGTCTGGAGGTCCCAGGTGTCCATCCTCTTCAGGTAGCATGCACGCTGCTCCATGGGTTTGTAGCACACATAGCCCTGCGAGACAGATTGTGACCTGTGAGAGCAGGCAGCGGCACGCACCTGCAGCTGTCTTAAGAGCCCAAAAAACGGACATTCCTTCTTTTGCCCTGCCTTATCTTTCCTAACTAAAGGTGCAGAGAAAGGCACCAAACAGTAGCTGGTTGATGTTTTTCCTGGTCTACACCTCCTGCTCTCACCCCAGTAGCTCTTCTCTCAGCAGCCTGGGCTCCTCTGCTTGCTTCCAGGCTAGCAAGGCAGGTAATTATCCCAACAAACTTACATTTCTGCTGTCATCCAGCACCACGGCGGTGTAGTTACTCTGCGAGGTTATGTAGTAGGTCACGGTGCTCCTGGACTCGTCCACCAAGGCTGTCTGGTTCCTCAGTGGGTCTTGCTGGCCCTGGAGCGTTAGCCGGACGAGCTGAGAGCCAGCCTGGGCACAAAGAGAGGGAGGGCAGCACCAGCCATCAGCCGTTCAGTGTCTGTGCACAGCATCTCCCTGCCGACGTCCCCCCTCGCTGGTCCCTGTTGCTTCTCTGAATTATTAGCGACAGCAGCAAGCTCTGACCCAAGGGAGGGGAGCAGATCTGTGAAGCAGACCGCTCTCCGACACGTGGGGCTGGGGGAGAGGTGCCAGTGACCCTCATGCCAAAGACTCCCACCCTGCCAGGGTGCCGGAGGAAAGGGCCGGGGGACTCGCCAGCCTCTGCCGCAGCCGCGCACGGGGGGAGGCTGGGATCTGCCTCCCCAGCCAGCGCAGCTCACTGGCAGCAGGCACGCTCCCCCCGCGCCTCAGCGGCCACAGCCGCACGTTGGAACGTGCCTGCTTAGCAAAATACCAGCTTGCAGCTATAATTACAAACGATGCACTGAAGTTCCTCTAATTTAAGCAACGGTTTCTGGCAGGCGCGTTGCAGGGGTGCGAGAGCCACTGCTCAGCTCGCTGCCTGCAGCGCTGCCGGCGCCTTCCTGCCCTTCTGCCTGCAGGCTGCCTGCGATGGGGCAGCTGGCCAAACCCAGCCCTGATCTCAGCCCGTTCCTCCCTCCCGGCAAGTGCTTCCGACACAAATCAGGACTGCAGGCAGGAGGAGGTTTTCTGCCTGGATCGGGATCCCTTACCTGGGCAGAGCTGGGGGAGAAGCTGAGAACCCCCACAACGCTGATGCCAACAACTGCAAAAAACAAGGCAACAGACAAGATGATCCAGCACGTCCTGGATGGAGCTGTGAAGCATGCTGCGGCCCTCCTGTCCTGGGAGCCAAGGCGAAAGAAGGAAAGAGCAGGAGTTAAAGTTAACCCTTCTGCTGGTTATCCTTCACCATAAAACGCACTTCCCGCTCACGACACAAATCACTGTGCAAACTGCTGGGATTTGAATGCAGAACTGCCAGAACATCACAGCGGCCCCGGAATAATGTCACTTTTATCCCCCAGCGATGGGGTTTCAGATCTGACATCCCAGTAACCAGCACTCCCGCAGCAGAGCACTTTCCTCCTGCGGCCAGGGGAGCACGCAAACGCTGCAAACCTGCTGAGGAAGGGCTGGAGCAGGAAGCTTTCCACAAACAGGGGCTGCTGCTGCACTTCAGCAGCAAATTAAATTATTGTGGTTTATAGCAGAAATCCCCAGGAGAACCTTCAGCATTTGAAACAGGCCCTGTGTGGAATGATCCTGCTTCCACCCCCCTCTGTATATTTGGTTGTATTTTATTTTCTTGATAAGTTGCTCTTCACGCAGACCAAGCTGTTACTTGAAGCAAAAGAGCTTGGCAGTCATGTGGCATTTCTAGTGGCTCGATTAAAATTCACTTTGATTCTTATATAGAAACAATTAAATTTAACTTAATGGCACATTAAAAAATTTTTACAAAGCAGAAAGAATGTGCTTTCAATAATAGTTTCAACCCCACTTAAAAAAATAATCTCTTTCTCAATCTTCTGAAGCACATAGAGAAATCCAATAAATGCCCATGGTTGGATTTGCTACAGCCGCACAAGGAACTGGCTCTTCACGCCTCTGGGTCAGTTACTGATCTTTTTCAGGCATCTGTAACTTCCAGATACATTCCACTAGAAAAGCAGCGAGTCTTAACAAAGTTAAAACTGCGCAAAGCTGAAAGCTCAGCAATTCAAATGCAATAGAGGCCAAGCCCTACAATAACAGGCAGGTTTTCAAGAGCTAACGAAATTCTCTCAAGTGGGAAAGGTGCAAATAAAGAAATCCAGCGACTCCTGTCCCTCGGCAGGCTGCAGTTCACACGTGCTCACGCATCCCGAGCGGCTCTGCAGCTGCGAGCCGGGTTGCTTTGGCATCTCGAACCTGACGGCCCTGCCCTGCCTTGTTGTACCATCGGTTTATGCCGGGTAAGCCCGGGCACTTAGAAGAAAATCCAGCTGATGGAGTCAGCTGCCTTACAAGGAGCTGAACCGTGGCGTGCTGAGTTTGGGGATGAACAAAATCTTACCAGGATCCATGGGAGCAGCAGGAGCTCAGCTCCTTCAAAAGAGGAATCAAGCAAGCACAGAGTAGGGACTCTGCGATAGCTGGGGGACCAGGGATACTCACTGCAGAGACAGCACTGCCGGTGCCGTTCCTGCCCTCCATCCTCCACTTCAGACGAGGACCTCGCTCCTGCAGCTCTGCCTCCTGCCAGCCCACAGACTGTGCATGATCCCCAACTCCAGGCACGCCCGGGAAACCTAAGCGTGCACCCACGAAACATAAATACGTGTCCCTTCGGCCAAAGGGCTTCCCAGCCAGGAGCTCCTCAACTCAGACCTACGGGGAGGGTGAAACCTTAGAGCTGCCACCTGGGGAGAGGAGAAGGGAAGGGGGGGTAAAACCCAGGGCTGCCGAGCGATGCTGTCGGTGCATAAAACTGCTCTTCCTGCTCACCTTGCGGGCCGGCGGGAGGGGGGCAGGTGGACGACAATCGGGGGCTTTGTGTCCGCCCTCCCTGCTGGCAGGCCCTAATAGCGGGACTGGGAGAGTCTCATTAAGAGGTACAATGAATAGAGAAAAGTGGCAGCCTGCCCTTGTCATCAGTTATTTCTACATTTCAACATGAACTTTGTGCTGCCGGAGCTCCGCGGGCTGAAGCCAACTGTTTATCCTGCAGGCTGCTGCCCTGCGAGCCTTGTCTGCACAGACGCGCTTGTGCTCCACCTACGGACCTCGCCTCCTTCAGACCCCGGGGAAAAGGATCCATCTCGGCTACAAAGTCATCGCCACAACCCGGGCTGCACTCGTGCTAACACCCCTGCCCTGCGACGAGAAACACCCCGCGGGGAACAGTGTTCCCAGAGCGTGGTTTTCCTGAGCAGTCCAGGAGCTCCCCATGAGGGCTTTGTGTTTTTGAGACCTGCCAGCCAGACGTAACCAACTGAACGGAGGCAAGGAAAAGCTCAACAGAATTCCTTCACGTGGTATCTATCAAGGGAAAATACAGCTTTTAGACATTTTCCTATCAAGCACAGCCCAGGACGGATCAAACTCAGCCAAGAGGGCAGCTCATCCTGGAGTTTTTCATCATCAGAGCATTAGCAACCCTCCTCCTCACTCAGCCTCTTTCCTTCTCTAAGTCAAAAATGAGCTATTTCAGTAGATCACCACCCCATTCTAGCACGCTGCTTCTGTGGGACGTGAACTCACACACCTGAACGCTGCGGCCAGTGAGAGTCAACCATCACGGTCACTCCTTTAAAACGGCAAAACTGAGAACGCCAGACCTCAGCGTCCCGTGCTGCGGCTCAGATGGAAACGGGAACAGTCAGACCACCAGTTCTGCTTCTGCCAACCCAGGCGTGGCAGAGCTCGGGCAGCGCTCCGTGCCGCGCAGCCTGCTAGCTGGCTTCTGCTGCAGCCGAGCCGAGCACAAGAAATCTGAAAAACAAGCTGCAACACGCAGACAGGGTGTTCTCCCTGCAGAGGTTTTAACGGCCATGCAGCAGACACTTTCCTACTTTAAGAAATTTATGCCCTGCCTAATCCAAGGCACAGGAATGAAACAAAACCCTCTGTAAAACATTGCTTGTGAAAGGATTATTGCATTCTGCTCTGTGCTGTACTCTTACTCGAAGTAAATCCCAGCCCATGCTGAGAGCCCCGCACAGCTCTGGGTGTCTAAACCGAAGAAATATACTCCAGGGCTTGGATTTCTTTCCCCGATACTGTATGTAAGGAGTAAAGATGATAAACACAAACTGCAACCCTAACTCCCAACATTTCCACACCGTACAGCTGCACCAAAGCTCACAGAGAAAAGACTACAAAATAAGACAATACCAGGGGAAAGCAGGTTTGTAAGTTTAATGTGAATTCAAGTAGAGGCTTAAAAACCGTTTGGAAGTTGATACAGAGTTTTGAAGCATGATTGACACCTTCACCAGTACATTTCGGCATACGTGAATCGAGGTAATGGTTCCCTTGTACAGTGACCAGTACTCGGCAGGAACGAGGCTGAACGCCTCTCCTGGCATCTACTACTTTACTTGACATTTTCTGAAATTAAAAGCACCAGATACTGGAACGGAATCAAACACATCGTTAAGTCGGACCCTACCTGCAGTAAACCCGTAATGTCCATTTCCATGTTACTCAAAGTGAAAGTTCTATCTGTAAGCATCGCTCTGCGACTTTACCCAGTCACAGCCTTCCAGCTGGAGACAGGAACAGGGGGGAGATTATCCATCCTTCCTTACACAACTCCGAGTTACAAACGAACACCCTTTTACAAGATCCAGCTCATATTCTGGTAACACTGAAAGACAATACGAACTGCACGGTTATTGCTGTACAAACGAGGTGGCAAGTCTACTCGTTCCGAGTGTCCGAGCCGAAGGAAACGGCATCGACACGCTGCTAGAGCTATTCAGCTGCACAGTGGGAGATGAAGGAAGGCTAGTGTTTCAATTTAACTGCTGATAGTGGAATCTATGGAATAAAAGCATGTTATTTGCATATATAATTTTTCATTTAATTCTGTAATGCAAACGCTTTCAACTGTGGCCTTCGATTCAGCCAGCATAAAACTCTACCCCGTGGCCTGAGCCGTGCATCACCCAAACCCACCTAAAGACCAAAATGAAATCATCACCTGAGCAAGCAAGCAAGCACTCCTCTTCAGGCAAGCAACTTGTGCCGGGCCCCCACGCCAGACACACGCGGAAGATATTAACCTCAGGTATTTAAAGGAAGCACGTGCCATCGTCGCACACAGCCAGTACGCTTACAGCCTTATTTCAGTGGAAAGCTGTACCCTGTATGACATCCATCCCCCGCGGACTGAGCGTTAATTTGGATTCTCCAGCTAAAGCCAAAGCAAGCGGCTGTTTTGATGCTGAGGGAAGCGTAAGAACTAACTCGGTACTAATTCAGTTATTTCTGGGAAGCAGCAGCAGTGAAGGACAGTCCTACGTGGTTACAGACTTTCTGCATTACCAAATGCAAAAGGAGAATTAAACCTACTGTGATCAAAGTACATTCCTCTTATCCTCCCTTCTGGGAAACAAGATATATTATCATATACTATACTTAAATTCATATTTTAAATATATTCTGATATATATTTAGGATCAGGGTAGTTCTTGTGTGTACATGCACTTTACACATACATCCAACACTTGGACAAACACAGTACACAGAAGACACCATTTGTGTTCTCCAAGTAGAATCATCCTCATCCGCATCACAAGTGCAATTTGCAACAATCAAATAAAGGAGACGGATTTCCGTTTCTGTGACCTGACGTTGCGCTTGCAGCGGGCTGTACTGCTAAACAGGACCCCGTCCAAGGGGAAAAAAAAAATAAAAATAATCAATCTAAGGCCAAACGCTAATTCTGCCAGCCACTGCAAGCATTTCCAAACACAGCTGCTAAGTTGCTACATGCTCCAAGAGTCATTTCCCTGAATAAACCAGACTGAGCCGTGGCCCGTCCAGGCGAGGACGCGCTGCAAGTTGTTGGGTTCTTTTCCTCAGATCAACCAGCTCTACTTTACTCAACTCAGTCTAGAGGACAACGTGACATCAAGTATCACAAACATTTGGAGAGATGTGTTGCTTATAATTTAAAAAAAAGCCCCAAGCCCACAGGACACGGGTGACACCGTAATGCCCTCTTTGTTTCAAAGTGCATTTAAAGACTGAGATGTAAACAACATCATATCGAGAGGACACAAAGGTTAAAAAGCTAAGGGTTGCTAACTCCAGGTGGTATCCTAGTGAGTACGTTACTGTCACAAGGTGATTAACAGGGGCCCTCTGCGGGGTACTGCTGCAGAGGCTGCGAGCATTTTGCTATATTAATCCCCCAGCGCTGGGAGAAGGTCGGCTATGCTGTCGACATAGTAATCGGGAACCAGGCTCTGCCTGGCAGGACAGTCGCTCTCCTGGTGGCTCTTCACTTCGTCCAGCGTGGTGACCCCAGTCAGCGTCAGCAGCGTGGTGAGGCCGCAGCTGTTGCCCATGAGGATGTCTGTGTCCAGCCGATCTCCCACCATGATGGTACGAGCGGGATCGATGTCGAACTCGCTCGCCACACAATCGAACATGTACCGGTTGGGCTTTCCGACGATGAATGCCTCGCGTTGGGCTGCCGTCTCCACTGCTTTTACCAGGCAGCCGGTCCCTAGGGAGAAAACAGAAAACATTGATTAGAGGCTGCAGGAGACTCTGGGCATCCACACGAGCCAGTACAAAACCACGCGATGCTTTGGAAACACAACACTTCAGCCTCACAGCAGGACAGGCAGAGAAACAGGTTAGTCCCAGAAGAGGCAGTGCATATTCTGCCAGGAGGCTGGAATCCCATCCCACATCCAGATCAAAAAGGAACCACTATTCCCCGAGTAAAGGATCAACAAAGATTCTCCCTCTTTTAGGGGGTGCAGTGAGGAGGAGGGGAAGCCCAGGCGCCGGGCCACCCGGGCTGCCACACCGAGGTACCAGCCTAATGCTGCCCTTGTCCTGAGACACAGGGCCGAGGCCGGGGAGGCCCCGGAGCCTGGGGACTCGCCTCGGGCGGCTCTGGCGGGGCCGGGGCCGCTTCCCCGCACCCGCCGGGCGGCAGGCGAG